CCACTGTTGACCTTCTTTTTATCGTTTGGTATTTTTTCTGAATTTTTTGGCTTCTTAGAGCCTTTTTCATTGACTGTTTTTTGTGTAGTATGGCCTTAGAGGAGTTCCTTTAGTTTTATGATGGTGCATCTTCAAACCTAAGAGAGATGATCGATGGTGTTCTTATTGTAAAAGAACAGGTCATTTTTATGCTTTCCTTTGGAATGGCAAGGGTGCTCCGCATTTTACCTTTGGAATAACTCCTGCACCTAATGAGACCTGCATTTCGTCTAGGTGAGTTAGAACGGCTCCGAACCATCCTTGATTATCTGAGTAAGCCATCTGATACTAGTGCTTTGGCTTTGACTGGTATGAGCCCCAAAACTCATTCTTTCCTTTCTTCATGTAATGATTTTAAACATTCCTGGGTTGTTGATTCTGGTGCTACTGATCATATGGCTTGTTGTGCTGACTCCTTTGCTTCTTATCATCCTACCATTGGAACTCATACTATAGCCATAGCTGATGGCTCACATACATCAGTTGCGGGTTCTGGTGACATAAACTTACAGCAGTCCTTACATCTTAAAGATGTTCTTCATGTTCCTAAACTCTCCAAGAATCTTCTTTCTATTCATAAAATTACAAAAGATTTGAATTGTACTGTAACCTTCTTCCCTACCCATTGTGTTTTTCAGGATCCTGCCACGGGAAAGACGATTGGTAGTGCTAAAGAGCAAGGTGGGCTGTACTATCTGGTGTCACAATCTCCCGCAAATAAAGTAACAGATCACATCTTGATGTCTCATGGTCAATCAACTGCTGATTCTTTGATTTGGCTTCATCATAAGCGCTTGGGACATCCTCCATTTGGTTTACTCAAGTCTTTATTTCCGTCATTGTTTTTATCTAAGCCTGTTGAGTCTTTTCATTTCATTGTGATGTTTGTGAGTTTGCTAAGCATCATCGTGTGTTTTTTCCTTCTAGTAGTACTAAGAGTGTTGAACCTTTTGATCTTATTCATTCTGATGTTTGGGGTCCTTCTAAAGTCCCTCATGCTTCTGGAAATAGATGGTTTGTTTCTTTTATTGATGATTGCACTCGTGTAACTTGGGTTTACTTAATGCATGAAAAGTCTGAGGTACCACATCTGTTCTTTCAATTTTATAAAATGGTTGAGACCCAATTTGGTAGAAAAATCAAGAGACTAAGAACAGATAATGGTACTGAATATGTTAATCACAGTTTTTCCCAATTTATACGAAATCAAGGTATGATTCATGAACTTACTTGTGTAGACACCCCTCAACAAAATGGAGTTGCTGAAAGAAAAAATCGTCACCTTCTTGAAGTTGCTCGTGCCTTACTGTTTCAAACACATGTACTCAAATGTTATTGGGGAGATGTCATTCTTACTGCAGCGTTCTTGATCAACCGTCTACCCACTCGGGTTCTCGATCATGTAAGTCCTATTCACTCCATGACTTCTTTTTTTCCTTTTGTTCCAACTTTGCAAAGTCTTCCTCCTCGAGTGTTTGGGTGTGTTGTCTTTGTTCATATTCATAAACAGCATCGCAGTAAGTTGGATCCTAGGGCTCTTAAATGTGTCTTCCTTGGATATGCTCCTGATAAGAAGGGCTACAAGTGTTATCACCCTGGTAGTCGGAATTTTTTTGTTTCTATGGATGTTACATTTCAGGAATCTGAGTCCTTTTTCCAAGGTCCTCATCTTCAGGGGGAGAATAATTCACTAGAAGACTCATCACCTTCCTTCTTTGAATTTGAATCTTCAGTGTCTACTCCTTCACCTGAGTCAGTGTCTCTTCCTTTTGTTCCTGTTCCCAATGTGTCTATGTCTGATCCTTCTATGACTGATCCTCCTATGACTGATACACAGCCCACATTGCCTCAGCAGCAACCTCAATTGTCTGAACCACTGGTAAGTCCTGAATCTCATATTTCTGATCATGATACTTCTGATGACTTACCCATTACTACTGATTCTGATGATTTACCCATTGCTCTTAGAAAAGGAAAAAGATCATGTCCCAAGAAATCTTGTTCCTCTTGTACTCAATACCCTATCTCCCATTTTGTTTCCTCTGCTAATCTGTCTGTGCAGCACAAAAGCTTTGTTTCAGCACTAGACTCTATTGCAATCCCAAAATCAGTACATGAAGCCTTGAAAGATGGGAATTGGGCTCAAGCCATGCAAGAGGAGATGAATGCATTGGAGAAAAATAAAACATGGGAGGTTATTGAAAGACCTACTGGAAAGAAAGCAGTAGGGTGCAGATGGGTTTATGCCCTGAAATATAATTCTGATGGAACTCTTGAGAGATACAAAGCTCGATTAGTTACCAAAGGTTACTCCCAAACCTATGGCATTGATTATGAAGAAACATTTGCTCCAGTTGCAAAGATGAATACGGTGAGAGTTTTGTTATCCCTTGCTGCCCATTACAATTGGGATATAAACCAATTTGATGTGAAGAATGCTTTCCTCAATGGTGAGTTAGAAGAAGAAGTCTTCATGGAAATTCCGCCTGGTTTTGATTCTGTGAAGGGAGAAAATAAAGTTTGTAAATTAAAAAAGGCCTTGTATGGATTGAAGCAGTCACCTCGTGCCTGGTTTGGAAAGTTTACTAAGGTTATGATGACCTTAGGATATAAACAAAGTCAAGGAGATCACACTCTTTTTTCAAGCACTCCCAAAATGGGAAGCTTACTGTGCTCCTTGTATATGTTGATGATATTATTATCACAGGTGATGATTTTGTGGAGAGACAGATTCTGCAAACACGGCTTGCCTCTGAGTTTGAAGTCAAAGACCTTGGGAAACTGAGATATTTCCTAGGGATAGAAGTAGCTCATTCGAGCAAAGGAATCTTTATCAGCCAGAGGAGATATGTTCTTGATCTTCTTAAAGAAGCAGGAAAGCTCGGGTGTAAACCCTCTAATACTCCTATTGAGAAGAATCACAAGATGTGCTATAAAGAGGAGAGTCCTCCAGTTGATAAAGGACAATATCAACGGCTAGTTGGGAAATTGATATATTTGGCCCATACTAGACCAGACTTAGCTTATGCTGTTAGTGTTGTCAGTCAGTTTATGCACGATCCAAAGGAGAAACATATGCAGGCAGTAGAGAGAATTCTTCAGTATCTGAAAGGTACTCCTGGTAAAGGGTTGTTATTCCGACGTGATGACAATCTATCTTTAGAAGTCTACACAGATGCTGATTATGCTGGATCCGTGACTGACCGTCGTTCTACCACTGGTTATTGCATGTTTCTTTGTGGTAACTTGGTGACATGGAGAAGTAAGAAACAAGATGTGGTCGCCAGATCAAGTGCAGAAGCTGAATTTCGAGCTATGGCTCAAGGCATTTGTGAGTTACTGTGGCTGAAAATTGTACTTGATGATCTAAAAATAAAATGTGAGGGACCTATGAAGCTGCTATGTGATAATAAGTCCGCTATTTGTATAGCTCATAATCCAGTTCAACACGATCGGACTAAACATATTGAGGTCGACCGCCATTTCATCAAAGAGAAACTTGATAGCGGGTTGATTACCACTCCATACATTCACATTGGGCGTCAATTAGCTGATCTATTGACAAAGGGGCTTCCTTCAGATAGATTTCAAGAACTTGCTAGCAAGCTGGGAATGATAAATATCTATTCCTCAGCTTGAGGGGGAGTGTTGTAAATAGTAATTATGTAGTCATTTATTACTAATTATATAGTCATTTATTTGTATTTATTTAGTCCGTTACTTGTATATTGAGCCAAGCCCATTAGGTCAAAATTAGGTCAAGAAGTCTCTATAAATAGAGACCCCTATGTACAAATTCAAAAAAATCAATAATATTTCATAACTCTTTTTCAAGTAAAACCAATGCAAGTTCATGCTTCCTAATTAAAATAAACCAATCAAAGAAAGTGGCGCAGCCTCATTTCTTGACATCGTAAAATTGTAAACCCAAAAAATCACAAGAGGGAGGATTACGATATGAAGGCAATCTCAATTTGTCCGATAAGGGTTAGATTCTAGTAAAAGGAAACAATGAGTAACAATAACGATACGGAAAAGTTACAGGAGAAAATTCGTCCAGAACCATAATTCCAGTGGCCACTACCTAAAGAAGAAAAGGGAGAAAGAAAGCTGAAAAAAAAGAGGCTTAAATAATATTACAATTATTATTTTATTTTATTTTGGAGTTAAATTATTACAATTATTTAGCACTAGTAATATTACTATTATTAATACATTATTATAATATTTAAATATTATTTTTTTATGATTAACATTTTATTTTAATCCAAAAATCAATATATAAACATATTTTGTAAATAAAATATATTAAATAATAATAATATAATACAATAATCATTAAAATAAATAAATTAAAAACTCTTTCATTTTGCGCCCAACAATTCTCTGCGAATTCAAATAGGTTATGGCATACCATCAAGTACATGGATTAATTAGTGGAGAATTTTTAAATTACTTAATCGGCGGGCGGGCGGGGGGTAACAGGTAATCGACATAGAACTCGTGAAAAAAATATAAAACCTGTTATCGCATTTTCTTATTTCCTTGCATGTAACATAGCAAAATAAGAATTCTCAGATAAATAATTAACATTACATATTCTTTTAATTTTTTATTTATTTTCACTAACTTATATTATTGATTTTGAATTATTGGATTCCCAGTGCTACCTACCCAAGGGACAAAATAATACGGACGCTACAGTGGTCCTAAAAAAGTGTCCTTTTTCTCCTCTTTTTTAAAAAAGAAAAAATAAAAGAAAAGAAAAGAAAAAACAAGTATCCTTCTTTACCTCGTGCTATCACTCAGTGTAGCTTGTACTACCATGGCCAGCGACGAAGATAAGCTTCTTCACATAGTGATGTTCCCATGGCTAGCTTTTGGACACATGATTCCAAACCTTGAGCTAGCAAAGCTGATAGCTCAAAAGGGTCACAAAATCAGCTTCGTATCCACCCCAAGAAACATAGAACGCCTTCCCAAACTGCCACCAAACTTGTCTACTCTCATTAATTACGTGAACCTTCCATTACCCAAAGTGGATAACCTCCCAGATAACGCAGAGGCCACCACTGATGTCCCCTACGACGTCGTTAAATACCTTAAAAAAGCTTATGATGCCCTCCAAGAACCCTTGACCCATTTTCTCGAAACTTCCAAAGCTGATTGGATCTTCTACGACTTTGTTCCCTTTTGGGTGGGTTCCGTGGCTTCCAAACTCGGTATAAGGAGTGTGTTTTACAGCATTTTTACTGCTCCGTTTATGAACTTCATGGGACCTGCTTCAGTTCTCATGAGTATTGACCAGCAACGGATAAAACCGGAAAACTACACCATGCCTCCGCCGTGGGTCCCTTTTCCGACTACCGTAGCATTTCGCTACTTTGAGGTAATGAAAAACACAGACAGTGCCCTCGACAACGATTCTGGTTTTTCGGACTTGTACCGGATGGGTGCCAGTATCAAGAATTGCGATTTCGTGGCGATTCGAGGCTGCACCGAGTTCGAACCTGAGTGGTTTCAGGTATGTTTGTCAACCGCAATTTACAAGGCTCTTAACCGCTTTAATTTTTCTATTTGTTATTTAATTTAAGTATTTATCAACAAAGGTCATTTAATGATTCGGGGGACCACTGGCACCGAATGCCGCAACCCTTTCTCGTTACCCACATAGTTTTTTTTTTTTTTTTTTTTTTTTTTTTTTTTTTTAATAGAGTGATGTCTCCATCCCCTTCCTGCACTCACAAACAATCTAGCGTACAATTTTGAATCTAGCGTACAATTTTGTAAGATTGACTCAAGTATTTAAATTATATATATTTTTATTTCACGTAACTTTTCAATATCTACACAATAACATCTCATTTGACATATTTTATCTCTCACAAACTTGATTCAAATTTGTAAAATGTGGAACAATAATTACAAATTTGAACTATGTTTATGAAAATTAAAATATGTCAAATGAGTTGTTATTGCGTAGATCTTAAAAAATTATATGAAAAAATCATCTGATTTGGATATAAAAAGTTATGGTCTTCCGAAGTTTTACAGTAACAGAACTGACGAAATTATATTACTTGATACAATCCTATAAGTGCCAGAGCAGAGTGTGGCATCACTTAATTGGAAAAAAATAATAATACATGAGTGACGCAGGAGAGAGTCGGCGTCAATTAGTGCAGAAAAGTCCCCCTGCAACACTGAATGATCTTTATTAATAAATATTGAAAATTAAATTCCAAATTAATATCATAAAATCTCAACAAACAAAAAAAACCTTTGGGTCAAAGAGCCCAATTTACAATCCTATGACACAATAAAATTGTTGAATTTACGAATTTAAGTATGAGTTGACTATTAAATGCTGACCAAGTTTTAAAAATGAATGAACAAAGTGCACACATAACTGATAAGTCTCGTCAACTTAATTATTTAAAATTGTGGGTTGAAGTTTAGTGTCACGTTTAATGGTGTCTGGTTTTTTTTTTGTCTCCTGGGCACTTTATTGGCCTCTGGCTCGCCTACAATATTGCATGTAAAATAACACTAACAAATATAACATTTTTACCATAAAATTGAGTTGATTGATGACATATAAATTCCTTTTTTATTTTTTATTTTTCCGAATCTTAATATTCAAAACAAACTCTCGATGTCATAAGCGAAAACTAAGCCTAAATTTATATATAATTTAGCTTTAAAATGCACATTTTTTGTTTTATAATTGATTTTCTGGGCATTCGAGTTGGATTGCCTATACATTAAGTAATTTATGACTTTAATTATATTATTGTTTTATGTACTTTGTTTTATTTAATTAAACTACAAACTAATATAGTGTAAGCCCCGCCACTTGTCAACGACTTACACGCATCTCATATTCTTGGAATGCCAACCATTTTGTATCTTGGTGTGTTTGATATATGAGATATTTTTTTTTATCATGATAAAAATATTATCTGCAATATGGTAGGAAATATTTGTATCCGGGTAAGTTAAGAAAAATTGTTTGGTAGGTAAAAAATTTTCTAGAAAAGTTAGATTAATTTTATTGATATTATGTTTGATTTGTGATAAAATATTAATGGAATCTTAAGCAAAATTACGAAATTATCCATTCTTTTGAATTTTGAAGATGTTCTCTGGAAGACAAGTTGTACTCCAAATTATACTTTTTTATAGGGCATTTTGATCTTACGATTGAAAAATGGGTTTGTCCATTATTAGGATTAAAACAATACCATGATTAAAAGTGCATTTTTTTATTTTCAGAATCTAGTGCAAAACATATTTTACGAGCAAAATAATATATCAATATTTGTTAAATTCAACACAAATCAAACATGGATAATATATTTTACCTACATCAAATTCTATCAGATTCTCCATACCAAACAATTCCTGGTGTCTTTGTGCAAGTTTCATTATATATAATTGGGAAAAAGATTATATTTATAAATAATAAATTCTAACAAATTCAATTATATACTATGAGTAATACATTCTTGAGTCCATGTATTATCCATAAATCATATTACATAATTGAGTTTGTAAGAATTTATAAATTAAAAATTTATAAATATAATATTTTTCTATATAATTTTGAATAATTTAATTTTATAAAATTTATTTCACTTAAAATCCGAGTTTGAAGTAAAGTATATACACTTAAAAAAATTTATCTCAAAGCTAACCCCAAAAAAAAAAAATTATGTCAAAAATAAATTTGTAGTGAAAAATCAATACAAATTTTTAATTTTATCCAGAAGTTATATATTTTATCTTTAATACAGAAGTACTTTAATCTTGACATAGGCTTAATCTCTAAACCACAAAAGATTAAAATTACAAAACAATTGATGTTCTGAAACAGGTGCTGGAGAACATTTACCAGAAACCAGTTCTCCCAGTTGGTCAACTCCCAAGCACAGGGCTCGACGGTGGTAATGAAAACAACGCGTGGCAGTGGATGAAGGATTGGTTGGACAATAAGTCACGTGGCACAGTTGTGTACGTGGCGTTTGGAAGCGAAGCGAAACCGAATCAAGAGGAAGTCACAAAGATAGCTCTAGGGTTAGAAAAATCGGAGCTTCCGTTTTTCTGGGTGTTGAGGGTTCGACGCGGGCCCTCCGACACAGTGGTGCTGCAGTTGCCGGAAGGGTTCGAGGAGCGAACCAGAGGGCGCGGAGTGGTGTGCACCACTTGGGCACCGCAGCTTAAGATATTGAGCCACGAGAATGTTGGTGGGTTCTTGACTCACTCTGGTTGGACCTCTGTGGTTGAAGCGGTTCAGAACGAGAAGCCGCTGGTTCTGCTGACGTTTTTAGCAGATCAAGGAATAAACGCGAGGGTGTTGGAGGAGAAGAAGATGGGGTACTCAGTGCCAAGGAACGAGCGAGATGGATTGTTCACGAGTGACTCGGTCGCTGACTCAGTGAGGCTTCTTATGGTTGAGGAAGAGGGAAGGATCTACAGGGGAAAAATTAAAGAGATGAAGGACTTGTTTGTCAATAGAGAAAAACAAGAAAGGTACATCGATAATTTGTTGGATTTCCTCGGGGAGAGAAATAGAACCCCCCAAACTTGAAGGACGAAGATGAATAATTGAAAATAAAAACAACTTTGAAATTTCTTGGCCCAATCGCGCTCTATTATTGATGCTATCATGTTGTATGCATGTCTTGTTTTTAAGATCTTTGTTGGATTTCAACAGTAAACGTGTATCATCGTTGTTGGTCACTTGTGATTTTTTCTTAATGATGACTATGATTCTGTGAACGTGGAGAATTCAAATTTTCAGATATTTTTTATTTACAATATGACATATTTTATTGGATTTTATTAATATCTTGTTGAAGAAATTTTTGGAACTCACTTCAAAAAGGTGTAGGATTTAGGAATTACTTGTTTTTTATTTTTGTTTTTTTTAAATGGGATCCATGATTGGTTTGTATATAAAGTAGAAGATATCTCTTTTGCTGCTAAGAGATTAATAAAATCTTATTTTATTTTTGTTAAATTATTAATAAATAATTTATTAAAATTAAATGAGAGAATCATTTAATAAAAAATAAAATATATATTATATTATAAGTGAAAAATATATCGAAAATTAGGTGTATTCCTAACATTAAAGAAATTTCTGTTAACAATGGCAGAGCCACTTGAAAGGTAGGTGGTGCCTTTGCACCACCTAATTTTTTAAAACAATATAGATTTTCTTAAAATAAATTTGATACTGCCTTGATATTAGTTGGATTTTTTAAAATAATATAACTTTGGCATCACCTGATTCTACTGACCGAATCTTTTGGTACTATCTAACTTTTTTCCCTGGCTCCACCACTGTGTTGCGCTTCTTCCTCCTGCAATGTTAAGCCCAAGCCCATTGAGGGATTTCCTAAAAATCCTAACTCTAGATTCTACCTCCTCTATATATTCATTAGTTGTAGGTGGAGGGCTAGGTTAGATTGAGAGATTTGTGAACAAAGCTTTGAGTTTTGTATTTGAGAGATCTCTAGAGAGTTTGAGTGAAACATCTCTAGGGAAGTTTGATTATCACCATTGTTGGAGAGGTTGAGTTAACCACCACTTTGGTGCATCTTGATTCTTTGTACCCATTATTTTCATAGTGGATGTTTGAACTGGACTAGGTCCCGTGGGTTTTTACTTCTTCATTGGAGAATGTTTTCCCACATTAAAAATCTGCTTGTGTTATCTTTCTCTCTCTCCTCTTTATATTTTTTTTCTGTTACGCTGCCCGACCTGGTGAAGTTCAAGCCGAGGTAAGATTGCCGAGATCCGAGATCTAGGATCTTGTTAGTTGACTTCCGCGAAAAGGCTCCTTAGCCGAGTTGAGGGAATCAATTTCCCAACAGTGGTATCAGAGCCAGAGTTCGACGGGTTCTGAGGGAGACGAGATGGAGACCAGTGGTATAATCCATAACAAAGATATGTTTAAGCTGACCGCAGACAGTTTCACCTATTGGAGACCAATGATAGAAGATCATCTTTACTGCAAAGATTTACATGAGCCCATTATCCTTGATGAGAGACCGGCAGACAAAAATGATAAGGAGTGGGAGATCTTGAGTCGTAAGGCGGTAGCTACAATTAGGAAATACATTCACAAAAGCCTCTTTGAGCACATGTCTGAGTCCACGAACGTGTACGAGTTGTGGACCAAGCTGGAGTCCATGATTCAGAAGAAGACTACCAGGAACAAAGCACACCTGGTTCACCGATTTGTGAAGCTTGAATACAAGGACGACATGAGCATCATTGAACACGTCAACACCTACAAAGGTATTGTTAATCAGCTGTCTAAAGCCGAGATGAAAATTGATGACGAGATGCAGGTTTTGCTGCTGTTGAGCTCGCTGCTAGAAAGCTGGGATACTCTAGGGGTGACTTTGAGTATATAATTTTTACTATAAGTAACAAATAATTTCAAGGCTTCTAATCCTTGTGCCTTAGTCGAATTAAGATGCTTCTAATGCCAATTATTTTTCTGCCCTTAAAGTATTACATTAACGGTTAACAACTAGAATTTCCCAAGGTTCCCAATCGGTTTCCATGGACTTCAAAATGAGTTTATTTACTGCACTCTTATTAATTTTTAACAACATGCACAGCGAAAAATTCTAAGGTCTCACTCTATGCAGATTCGGTTTTCATTAACAGCTAGGTACTACAAATTCATCATTCACATGGCATTATCTACAAGGTCTAGGGTGTGCCCAAGAGGCATAAAGCATGTTGTTAAATTTATTTAATTCATATAAGGTTTGATACAGTAGTATATTCCATCACCAATTACCTTATACTAATTTAACAAAACAGTAACTTGTGAATCAGCGAAAAATCCCAAAGCCTGCAAAAAATGTTCACAGAGGTCAAGATATAGTTCTTCCCCTTTAGCACACAATGGAACCTATTGTTTGGCATTTACACCGCCATAAGGTCAGACTCTAGATTACAAAGGCACTAAGCTAGGAGTCTACTTTCTGAACCCTTGGTTTAGGCCACGTGACCCATATGCACTAAAGAAAAAAACGTCTACATCACCAATATTGTTATGGACTTTGAGGTTATTACCCTAAAAGCTAGCTCAAACGATGAGAGTGTTCAAGGTCTTATAAAACTCAACACTGACTGGATGGTAGCCTTTTCCTTTTTGGCGGTTTCATTCACTTATCAGTATCCAGTACAACACATCTTTGAAAGGTATGACACCTTAATTCAGCCTATAGATATTCCTTTTCGTGGCCTCAACTCTCAATGAAAACACAAATTATTACAGACCTTGAGGTCACACCCCAAAAGCGAACTCAAAAGATGAAAGTGTCCAAAGTCTTATACACTCCAAATTAATTACCTATGCAATCAATATGAAACTAGTAACAAATATCCTCATGATTTTGTCGTACAATAATGTTTCGCTACATCGGATCGTGCATATCTCCATGATCTTCACGTGCATAACCTCTCACTCCACCACTCGTACTAAGGAATTGAATACCCTCACAACTGCCTATATTTATTAGAACTTAAGGCCCCCGGGTTTGGATCATCTCCCTTATTCATTATTCCACCTCTTTCATAGACTAACTTGAATGTCACAATCCCTGTTAGTGAATTGTCACCTATAGTCCACCTCCGTATATGGAAGGGCAACCGGCCAAGGAATTCAAATAACTACCAAGAAAGAAGTTCAAAGCAGCCTCAAATTTCATCCAAAGTATTCTTAAAGAAAACCAATGCAAGTTCATGCTTCCTAATTAAAATAAACCAATCAAAGAAAGTGGCGCAGCCTCATTTCTTGACATCGTAAAATTGTAAACCCAAAAAATCACAAGAGGGAGGATTACGATATGAAGGCAATCTCAATTTGTCCGATAAGGGTTAGATTCTAGTAAAAGGAAACAACGAGTAACAATAACGATACGGAAAAGTTACAGGAGAAAATTCGTCCAGAACCATAATTCCAGTGGCCACTACCTAAAGAAGAAAAGGGAGAAAGAAAGCTGGAAAAAAAGAGGCTTAAATAATATTACAATTATTATTTTATTTTATTTTGGAGTTAAATTATTACAATTATTTAGCACTAGTAATATTACTATTATTAATACATTATTATAATATTTAAATATTATTTTTTGATGATTAACATTTTATTTTAATCCAAAAATCAATATATAAACATATTTTGTAAATAAAATATATTAAATAATAATAATATAATACAATAATCATTAAAATAAATAAATTAAAAACTCTTTCATTTTGCGCCCAACAATTCTCTGCGAATTCAAATAGGTTATGGCATACCATCAAGTACATGGATTAATTAGTGGAGAATTTTTAAATTACTTAATCGGCGGGCGGGCGGGGGGTAACAGGTAATCGACATAGAACTCGTGAAAAAAATATAAAACCTGTTATCGCATTTTCTTATTTCCTTGCATGTAACATAGCAAAATAAGAATTCTCAGATAAATAATTAACATTACATATTCTTTTAATTTTTTATTTATTTTTACTAACTTATATTATTGATTTTGAATTATTGGATCCCCAGTGCTACCTACCCAAGGGACAAAATAATACGGACGCTACAGTGCTCCTAAAAAAGTCTCCTTTTTCTCCTCTTTTTTAAAAAAGAAAAAAGAAAAGAAAAGAAAAGAAAAAACAAGTATCCTTCTTTACCTCGTGCTATCACTCAGTGTAGCTTGTACTACCATGGCCAGCGACGAAGATAAGCTTCTTCACATAGTGATGTTCCCATGGCTAGCTTTTGGACACATGATTCCAAACCTTGAGCTAGCAAAGCTGATAGCTCAAAAGGGTCACAAAATCAGCTTCGTATCCACCCCAAGAAACATAGAACGCCTTCCCAAACTGCCACCAAACTTGTCTACTCTCATTAATTACGTGAACCTTCCATTACCCAAAGTGGATAACCTCCCAGATAACGCAGAGGCCACCACTGATGTCCCCTACGACGTCGTTAAATACCTTAAAAAAGCTTATGATGCCCTCCAAGAACCCTTGACCCATTTTCTCGAAACTTCCAAAGCTGATTGGATCGTCTACGACTTTGTTCCCTTTTGGGTAGGTTCCGTGGCTTCCAAACTCGGTATCAGGAGTGTGTTTTACAGCATTTTAATTTACTGCTCCGTTTATGAACTTCATGGGACCTGCTTCAGTTCTCATGAGTATTGACCAGCAACGGATAAAACCGGAAAACTACACCATGCCTCCGCCGTGGGTCCCTCTTCCGACTACCGTAGCATTTCGCTACTTTGAGGTAATGAAAAACACAGACAGTGCCCTCGACAAGGATTCTGGTGTTTCGGACTTGTACCGGATGGGTGCTAGTATCAAGAACTGCGATTTCGTGGCGATTCGAGGCTGCACCGAGTTCGAACCTGAGTGGTTTCAGGTATGTTTGTCAACAGCAATTTACAAGGCTCTTTACCGCTTTAATTTTTCAATTTGTTATTTAATCTATGATATTTATCAACAAGATGTTTGGTTGATGAATTTTTTTTTGAATACTAGGAAAATGTAATTGATAGGGAAATG